GGAAAAAGTTGGGAACAGGATCCCAAGGCCGCCGCGCTGCAGTGCCTGCTGTGCTGAGAAAGTCCAGGCCCCAATAATGAAGCGAAGCCGCAAGCGGCCGGCCCTGGCGTGCAGGCTGTTGGCTGGCCGGCCGGCTGGTTGCAGCAAGCAGCCCCGCGCCTCGAGCCGTGCGCCGCTGTTACTCGTTGTACCCGCTCGCGGCTCGCTCGAGTTGACACTCTTCCGTTCTGCTTCTCCTCCTTTGTTTTGTTTTCTTTTTATTTATTTACCACTGTGCCAGCCACGTCCGCCGTGCCTCCCGCGGCCCGGGCCCCGCGCGCGTGGTCCCGCCGCACTCCCGTCGTGATGCGAGAGGGGGAGCGCGCTGCCGCTGCGACCTGCGACCTGCGACCGCGATGCGTTGCGCTGGACGGCTGCGTGCGTCTGCGCCCGCCGCACCGCTGATTGCCGCGCGCGCGCGCGGACACGGAGGGAACAGTGCGTAGCGGCGGGGGCGGGGCCGCCGGTCGCGGGAGGGCGAATGGACGATGCGATCCTTTTGGCTCGTCCGTGTCCGGTGGGCAACAAGGCCCAGCGCGCCGCGCCGCGCGCTGATCCCAACGCGTAACGAACTGGGCACGCACCCGCGCGACGGGATGGGTGCGGGAGACACGGCCGCGAGGCGGACTGCGGACTGCGGCGTGCGGCTGCAGCATGCGCGTCCCCCTCCCTCGGGACGCGTGGCTGGGTTTGCGGGGTAAGCTGTCCTCGCACTGAGTCTGTGACTGGCTGGCTTTCAGCTGTTGGGCTTGCACGCGGAGAAGAGAACGCCGGCCGGGCGACTACTGGGTTCAGTTCAGGCAGCAGACATTTCTGATTTCTGACGCCGCTCGTAGGTTCATTTTCTTTTACACTTCAATCCTGGTAGTTCTAGCAGACTAAATCGAAAACAGAAGGAAATTTAAAACCTTATTACTACGAAATACTCCGTAGTAGGAGCAACTAGTATACAGGTGAAAATGAAATTCTGAGTAGTAGTATATTCACGGAAGAATGGATACACACACTCGCAGAACGGCAGAAGCTCCTTCACAGCCCATTTAAACCCTGCTGCACACTGTACACCAATCAATCGCAGTAAAACCTGTTGCTCTGTACCGTGAACAGTTCGCGTAGGTACACCTTTTATGAAAGCGGCAGAAAGTATGAACTGATACGGTTACATATCGGGTTATCGTGGAGTAAAACGATCCTGTCATCCCCGAAGGTTGTCTCAGAGAATTGGGAAAATGTACTGTTAATCCAGGAACACAGGCCCGGGGCGGTACGTACGTGTCCGGCCACTGTCCAGAAAGTGGCGTTCCTACAACAAATTCTCCTGTTCCACCACTTCCATTCCCCTATCCGGAACACAGGCCTCCTGTTTCCACACAAGTGGTACGTGCGATCATTGCTCCCGGCTATAGATAGCTTGTTTAAATTCTTGCCTCCGTCTCCGTGGCCATCATATCATAAAAAAGGACGAAAAAGACCGTGCTTATATATACTCCAGATACATGAATGTAGAGTATATGAGTAGAGTAAGGTTGATACTTCAGATACATGCGATACAAAAAGGATCGAAGACATTAACCACACGCGGAGTACATGAATGTGTGTCAATGCTTTCACTAGCCTATCTATCTACAGGCTTCAGGTGCCAAACCTACTACTACTTGACTTGATTCATCGGCTGTAGAGTAAATAATCACCAAAAAGAAGGCGTTGGCCTTTGCGGCAAATCCTCCGACGATCATTAACCGACCAAATACGACTTGCGCTTTTGTCTGGAGCATATTGCACAGCCCCGGCCATATCCTGCCTACCTGCTGTTCTTCACTTCACCACAGAAAGAAAGAGAAGAGAGAGAGAGAGAGAGAGAGAGAGAGTCGAGGAGGTGAATTCAGCCATTCAGGTCGTCACGGATGAGAGTGAGCGATCGAGAGACATACGTGCAGTGCATGTACTAGTACGTGACAGGGACACGACGAAGGAATCGATGATCTCTCTCCATCGGTTGACACCGAAAGTGCTCCATATGGACCGACGCGGCCGAGTCGACTAGTCGCTTGTCTCGCGATAACTATGATGATGATAGACTGCTGTGTGTCTTTGTGGGCTCTACTTTAGTTTTGGTGTGATCACGACAGGAACCTGTCGCACGTATTGCTCTCTCTCTCTCTCTCTCTCTAGTGTTGTCCCGCTGCCTCTCACTCTTGTTATTGGAGGACTAGTGTTAACCTGAGTGCCCTTTTTTAAGCTTCTTTTAAGACCCAAGTGTGTGAGTGACACTCTTTTTATTGGCAGCAAGCACTACGTTATTCGCTCATATTATGCAGGTACTCATTTCAGATGTCTCATTTTTGTACTACATAGACACCTTGGTAAAGTTTGGGCCCTTTTCCCTTCGGCCCGGGACGAAAATCTACTCTCTACGAGTATGATAGTGTTAGGCCCGTTAGTGCTGTTAACGGGCCCCAATAAGTAAAAATATGATATTGCAAAAGCCCATGGCCCACTGGTAATATATGGTAGTACAATAGTGGAACCGCCGTCGTGGGCACAAAAGGTGCACAATATTGGGCTTTCAAGGCTCAATTAAAAATTGCGCCTGCCTCCGAAGAGAACATATATACATGCCCATTTTCTTTGCTCAACTTCATCACGGGGCCGCCATTTGGACTCTTTTAGTACTTCACCCATTTATTTCTAGACAGATGAGTGTTCTGTTGGAATCGATCGTGACTCATGCATAATACAATTATATATATCGATTACCAACTGTTTATGGGCTCTACAATCGGCTAAACCATATTTTTGTCGGTCTACAAGCTTGAGACAATAATAACTTTTGTTGTCGGCAACCCATATCATATTCCAGGGCTCATTGCAAAACAAGAGACAAAAAGGTGACGCCCCCCTCTAGGCCAAGTTCTTCAACCAAGCAAAAACTAAATACGCCAAAGAACATATAACCAAATCCTCGCTTAAGCATAAGTATTTAAATTAAATTTGAATGGAATAAAATTGTTGAACACCGTTTTCAACAGTCTTGTTCAAATCAAATATATATTTGTACTGAATGACGAATTGGCAATTGAACAACAAACCTCACTTGTTTGAAAATTGCACCGGGTTGTCGCTCCAACGATGTTTTGAGCCGAGTGTGATTTTGTTGCTATCGACTTAAATGCAAGCACCAATGTTAAATTCGGGTGGACAAGTTTTAACACAAGGAACCAAACTGACTCAATTCGTGTGGAGGATACATGTTGTTGTTGCAGCACTAAAATAAAAATGCATATGTCATCGATATCGCAGTGCCAACTATGCAGGTTTGGTGTAACGACCTAGCGACAAGGAAGGTTGATGAAGCCATTAATCTATGAATAAGCACCACACATGAATGTATGTAGACCACAAATCACACAATGGTTGAACCACTACTTTCAAAATTCAAATGACAAGGGACGACATTGGATGAAGCCATTAGCGTAGTCTCAACCTGAAACATTTTAGTAGTTTCCACAGATGTCATGTCATGAAGACACCCTCTTTGGAAACTATCTCACCTAACGTATAGTTTCTTGATAGGGACCAACAGATAATTTCGACCAATCCCATTGACACCTCTCTTTCATCCTTTTCTCCCCCACAATCCCTCTCTCTCTCCCTCCACAACAGATGGTGCGAGCGAGCGCACCAACGGCTGGCTGCGGCGATCGCATGTGGCACGACTGTGCATGACGGGTGGCTATGGCGAGCAGTAGGGGTACATGGTGGTGCAGCAGGAAGGGGTGTTGCAGCACGAGCACGAATTGAACGTGGCAAGCACACCGACGTCAATTGGCTTTTGGAGTATCAAGAGTCAAGAGCATGTCGACCAAGTCTTCCTATTGCTGATCGTCTTCGGGAGAGATTCTCCGCTTGCCGTTCGAGAATGTTGTTGACAAACCGTTCGAGCCACATGGCCTTGGCTAGCTAGTGCCACGCGCGGAGGAGGCGCCTGGAGACGAGGCCACCATTGGTACTGAGCTTGCCGAACCAGAGCGTCACGAGGGAACAGGATGATGGCAAGTGTGGTGCGCAAGTTTGGCGCCAGGGAAGCACGGCGGCGAGCAAGTCGCAGGCTAATGGCAAGGAGCGTGAGGTAGTCCCATCATGGGTCCCAGAAAATATGGGAAGAAACGACCGCTTGTCCTCAATGTAAACGCCATGTTCATTTGCCTGATAAGTTATGGCTAAAAATATTATTGGCTAATTTATTATAAAAGAAAAATATTATTTGTTAGTTGAAAAAGTATGACTCAAGAGCGAAAATCACTTTGGTGGTCTCTCGGAGCGCGAGACGACATGGTTTTTCTCAACTGAGAAACAGTTTCTCTCTTTGTTTTCTTCTGTTTCTTCGTTAAATCTATTGCCACACGAGCAATTTTACTTACATAGTAGGGTATTTAATGCTACATAAAAACTATCCTGGCTGAAAGGTCGGGACTGTTTTAATTAGGGTGTAGAATACAAGAGTAAAACTGGCCATGTAATTGCTCGGCCAACCAGCTAGTTGCATCAATATCTAAAATATCGAAAACACCGCCAACCAAGCATGGATTGCATGTATCTATACTTCCTCAATTGTATTGTATTTCTGGCTCTAAACCATACAGACGTAAACGGCCCTCAGGGTTGAATATCCCAAAGTATCTATGTACAGAAGAAAGATTGATCATTTGTGCACATCTGCTCTAGCTCCCATATATTATATCGAACAAATAATAAGCAAATGCAACAAACCCCACAACGCAAGCAAACAAAACTTTGCAGGCGAGATGATTAACAACTCTTGATTTCTCCCACCAAACACCACCATCAGCACCGTTTGCGTAACCTTATCAATTAACAGTGCAATCTGCTAAACGCACTAACCATCTGCACCTCAATTGCATATGATAACACATGCTTGAATCTGGATGGACGATCGATCGTCACCTCAGCTTGGCCACCTTCCAGCTCCGCCTGTCCAGGGGCTCGCTGCTGCCGGTGACGTCTTGCAGGTCTGGGGTCGTTAGCTCGCTGCTCGTGGCGACCACCGGGACGATCTCCATGGTTGTCCGCCGCTCCCCACTGAACCTGAGCATCTCGACCACCTCGGCCATGTCCGGCCGGCTCTCGGCGTTGCTCTGCGTGCACAGCATGGCGGCCTCGACCACGGCGCGGAGCTGCTGCGCGTCGAACCGCCCGGCGAGGCGCGGGTCCGCGATGCGCTCCCACTTGCGGCGGTCCACCAGCGGCGCCGCCCACTGCACGATCTCGCGCTTGACGCCGCCGGGGAGCTTCTCGAGCGGCCGGCGCGCGCTGACGAGCTCCAGGAGGAGCACGCCGAAGCTGTAGACGTCGCAGCTCTCGGAGACCTTCCCCCACATGGCGTACTCCGGTGCCAGGTAGCCTATCGTGCCCTTCACCCGCGTCGTCAGGTGCGACACGCCGTCGGGTATGAGCTTGGCGAACCCGAAGTCGGCGACCTTGGGAACGAAGTCCGCGTCCAGCAGTACGTTGCTCGCCTTGATGTCCCGGTGTATGATGTGCGGGTTCGCCTCGTGGTGCAAGTAACTGAAATAAAGACACGTATGGATTGTTAACGAGATGAAATGGCAGGAATCAATGGAGTCTCTGGGTGCCTGGTGTGTGTGCATGTATTACTCACGCGAGGCCCTCGGCGGCACCGATGGCTATGGAAACGCGGCGTGCCCAGTCGAGGGGCTGATGCTGCTGGGAGGAGGGGGCGCCGCGTTGGGGGTGGAGATGCGTGAGTAGGCTGTGGTTGGGCATGTAGTCATAGACGATGAGGCGCTCGTCGCCGCCGGCGTAGAAACCGCGGAGGCTGAGAAGATTCTTATGACGGACACGGCCGAGGATCTCCACCTCGATGGCGAACTCCATCTCCGCCTTGGCCGTCATCGCCTTGAGCCGCTTCACCGCGATCTGAACACGTATCGAACATTTGTCGCCCCAGGATTCAGGAATCATATGCACCCCGGCCACAGCCGGCAACAAACGAATTACGAGCTCAATTATGACATGTAAATTGATAAGACCACGAACAGATATATAGTGCATGCACCTCGACGCCCTTGGAGGTGCGGCCCCAGTAGACGGTGCCGAATCCGCCCTCCCCGAGCTTGTTGCTGTCGTTGAAGTTGTTGGTCGCCTGCAGGAGCTCCTTGAGGCTGTAGATCTCCCATGGATACTCTATACTCCTGCTCTTAGGTGTCCTCGACGGATTCGTCCTTCAAATTCATCCGGTAGTGTCACAGGAAGATTTATCAGCTCGACTGATCGCGATATATATCAGAGATACAGCCGTGCATGCACGGGATCACGAGGTAGCCTTGCAGATACTCATGGTCAACGAAGCATATATGTGTACCTGCGAGTGCGACGACCAGCGGGTGGTGCGGCGGCTGGCTCAGGCTCATCATCGCCGGCGACGCAGCAGAAGCACCTGTTGATCATCTCTACGCAGACCAACCGATCGACGAATCCTGCGCGCCGCAGAGGGAAGGGGACGAGGAGGAGGACGACCAATCTCGATGCGGATTCAGGTGAGAAACCGAGGCTGGAAGAGAGAATGTTTCCAGGGGCAGCTAGTTAGGTCTAGCTTGTTGTTTGTCTCGCTGGCTAAATTATCCTGCCTCTCCTTGGAGACTTCACTCCTATAACAGTGACGTTCCCCTACTGTGAAGATGTGGTCGATCTCTAGAACGCACACCACTTATATATAAACACAAACCAGCAGGCAAATATGAACTCTCTGAACTGGAGTAGCCACACTATCTGGTGGTTATGCACACGTTGCCCATTCATATACTGATTGACCACTGTACTGTTCATCAGAATATCAGGTGAATTGTATGAGACATAACCGCCGCGAGCGTGCTAGCGACCAGGTCAGTCAGACAGGTGAAATCGACAGAGCAGTAGCACCGCGTCATGATTCATAACAGGGGTTGGTTCAAACGGCCTCCGAGCTTTCCTTGTTTCTTTTCATGTGACTCAATGCATTTGTCTGAGACATGTGCTAGGCTCCTAGCTTTTGAGTTTTGAATAAGTCAGCAATTTCTCTGTTTCTCTGAGCAGATAATTGAAGCGATCGAGCGCAGGCAACAGCACAAAAACAAAGGGATTTACACCACTGCTTACCACACACCTAATCTGCTAGTGACTGCTGCCGCTTCCATTTGTTTATAGATGAAGATGTCACTTGGATTGGTCAATGAAATGGAAATCCATGGAAAGCTCGTGGCATGACCTGACAAATTAACCACTTGATATATTGAGAACAAAAAAAGGAATCCCGTCTGAAGAATGCAGAGGAAGCAACATATGTTAGGTTCAGAGCCCAAATTCAGTTTTATTTTGTCAGCTTGCTTGCTGCTGGTCATCGTCTTGTGTCTCTATACAAATGCACATATCTGAATTTGAGATTATTGCAATCAGGCCGTATGAGCAATCCCACTCTATTTATGGGTTGTCTTATCTTCTTGTCTTCACAACGAGATATATGATACTCAGATATTTGTTGCATCTGAAAATGGGGGTGTTAACACAATTTAATTTGTCAACAAAGATGGTCAAAGCAACACCACACTGGTTGGTGAAATCACGTTCCCTCCTCTACACAGCAAGGAAAAGATAGAAATCCCTACAAGTGATCCTTTTACTCCTGAACAAATAGCTATTCTTCAATATTATATCACTGAGTGAAATAAGCTTGTACGCCAATACTTCTCAGAGACGATTAATGCGCAAAAAACAATACACTATCACTCTAGAGTTTCTCAATTTACTGGAAGTTTTAACCACCTCTCTACATGCCTTGCAGCCTTCATATTGTCCTTGGAACTATTCACCATGAAAATCACCGCAGATCGTTGAGATATCAAGTATAGATTTTTCACCGACAAACGATGGAAATATCTAATGCTACGAGTTTCGCTTCTATTGTTATAACACTCCAGTATCCAAACGGCTTAGATCCACTCAGCACGTTAAGTGAACCACAAACTACCACCAACCTACTTACTTTTTCGTCCTCGCTTTACGTAAAAAGGTTAGGCCAGAGATGGTGGAATGAACTCTAAAAGCTTTATACGTTGGTTTAACCCACCCTCAACAACCACCAAGGTGAGACTAAACCCCCACAATCTCATATCAATATACACATGTGTCATTGTGGACTAAATCTGAACCGGAAAGTATGTCATAATTGTTGACCTCGTTACGATGGCCTACTTGCAAGAGTTCCATGAAGCAATGCCACCTCCCAGTGTAAACACGTATCCATTTGTGTCCTTTATCTCATCAACATCATATATCTAATTTGAATAACTACTATAGCCCTCTAGTACCCTTGGGTACCTAGCATCATAGTGAAGGCCATAGCTCACACAATGCCCTTCATATAGCGCATTACACGCTCAAGATCGCACCAATGATCATCTCCCGGATTCAATACAAACTAGCTTAGTTTGCTCACAACGAATGAGATGTTAGGTCTCTTTGCGCTAGCCAAGTACAAGAGTGAGCCAACAATCTGGGGGTATCTCAATTGATCTCTTAGTGGCTCAATGTTAATAATAACATCACCAACTCAAAAATCTTTCATCTCAAAGTTGTTAGACAAGAAGTCTTTCACCTCCTTAACCACGTTAAGGCTAGTTCCAAAGATCAGTATAGCATCCATATATAAACACAAGATCACACCTTCCCCACATTATAGCGATAGTACACATATTTGTTAGCTTCATTCATAATAAAGCTAGCATATGTCAAAGTTTTGTCAAACTTCTCATGCCATAGCTTAGGTGCTCGCTTCAGGCCATATAAAGACTTAAAAAATTTAAACATCATTCCCTGTTGACTTCTGCTACAAATCCATCAGGCTAATCCATATAGATCTCCTCTAGCTCCCCATTCAGGAAAGCTGTCTTAAAGTCCATCTGATGAATGAGAAGACCATGTGTCGGGTTCATAAACCCGGGGTCCCTCGAGGACCGGCTTCGACGCCAGGGCTCGGCCCAAGAAAACAATATGTAGTTCATGGGCCGGCCCAAGAGTCTAAAACACAACGGGCCGGAAGGACAGTCCGGTCGCCCATCGGAAGGTCTACCCAAAAGAACAAGCGCTCGCTCGTCAACTTCTTCGGCCCACCTCTCCAACTGGAGCACCAGAGCACTCGCTTCAGACACCAGCCGCCTCCGGGCGGTCTCTCCGATCGGAAGGCCTGGCCCAAAACGCTGCTTCCTACTCCAACCCCGCATCTCCGACCGGGGACCCGTAGGAAGCCTGCTTACCGCTCTTCTCCGACTGGCGCGGCCAGGCCTGACTAGGGCCATCCGACCGGGGACGCCCGCTCGGAAGGGACCAAAGGCGAACAGAGAAGGCAGTGCACAAGTCAAACCACGATACCAGGGACCACACCCTGTACGCCTACGGGAACAGTGCTCCACAACCACCCTGGCACAAACAGTATTGTAGGCGCCGACATTTGTGTCTACAGTATTGTAGGCGCCGTTGGACTCCCGTACGGCAAAAAGCCCCCCACATGCCTCTGGGCATCGATAGCACTGTGGGCGCTAGGGCTCGCCATACCTAGTACACGTGGTAGGGCTCCTCACATACCAACAGTATTTTGTAGGTACCAACATCTACCCTTCCTGAAGAAGACAACGCAACCTCCCATGTGCACCTGACATTCTACAGTGACGTCAACAGTATTGTGGGCGCCTACCATCATCACTGTCCTCATCGGCGTGGGCGACAAGGCTTAGTAACATCCGTACTCTCTCCCTCTCACCTGTAAAGCCATCCCCTTCTTCTATAAAAGGGGATGCGCTCCCTCCAACGAAGGAGGTCGACTTCTTCAAGTTCAGATTCACTAGACCGATAGCTCACCACCCCTCAAGCACACGCTTAGACTCCTAGCTCATAGCGGAGCTCCGGTCGCTCTCGGCCCTTCCGGTCGGACCTGACCGGGCCTCTCGTATACTCCATCTTTCTCCTTCTCGTTTGTAATCCCACTACAGACTTCGAGCACCTGAGCTCAGGAATAAAGCCACCGACCGACCCAGACTGGACATAGGGCACGTTGCCTGAACCAGTATAAATCCTGTGTCATTGAGTGCTAGGCCACCTCCGATCACAACGTACAGCAAAACTATAAATATTCACTAGTTGGTCACTTTCTGTACCGACAGTTGGCGCCGTCCGTGGGGAAGACGTTGTACGTTCAACACTTTTTGGTCATCGGATGGCCCATTTTTCCACCACCCCCGCCGTGGCGGGCTCAGGAGATACGATTCGCTTCGGCTCGCTGGAGTATCCCGCACTCTCGCCTGTAGGGATGCGGGTTCCACCTGTTTTTGAGCCATCCCAGGCCTTCCTCTTCGGAAGCCTGGACTTCGTCGTCGACCGGCTCAGCGTACTCCACCTCCGCGAGGAGACTCGCGACCCGGCACCCACCGGAGAGGCGTCCTCCATCGACTTTGGGACGCGTTACCTCAGCGGCGCGGCATCTGTGCTTCATTCTGAGCAAACTCTCTACTCAAACCCCGCTGTGAGTAATATACATGTCGTTCTTTACTTACTACATTCTATCTTCCGCCAAATACCCAGAGGGCTGCCGTTGTCCCCATCATGGCCACCGGATGACCGGTTCCCCTACGGCCTCGTGTCTCCCGTGGACGCATACGCCCGGGGGCTCCAAAATATTATGGCGCCGCCTCCTCTCACGTCTAAGTTTGTGGGGATGGCGAGCTACGCTCCCACCTGTTTCCTCGACATAATGGACGACGACGTCGGGAGTGACGGCTCCAGCATCGGCGACGTGGCACCCAGCCACCGTCCGTCCCTAGAGTGCGCTATGATGGATACTCCAGAATAGCCGCTAGAGGCAACGGAGTCCTCACGGACTCACGCCCCTCCGGGCCCTCATACGGAGGCCCCCGAACTCACACGTGAGCACGGGGAGGATCTACGACGACAGTGGCAGCATCAGCCACCGACCTCACCAGAGCGCTCAGCGCACCACACTGCGCCCAGTGCGCATAGACCGACGAACGGCGCTCGGGGTCACGCCCGTCAGGTCCAGCGCAACACCCCGGTTAGGGGGACCGATCCCCCACAGTTCGCTCGGGCTAGTCATAACATTGCCGTTGCGGCAATGCTCCTGCGCGTCCTCTCTGAGCCGAACGACCCTCGCAAACAGGCGATCCACCGGAACCTCCGAGCATTGGTAGAGACCACCGCCGTTCAGCAAGCGGAGTGCTCCGTATCGCAACGCCTTCTCGCGACCTCGCTCCCCGTCCGGGGAACAGGGACGCAGCAGATGGGGCACTACATCCTATCACCGCAACAATCGTTGAGCGCGGCACACGAGGCCGCAACGGCACCTCATCTCAACCTGACGACCGCTCCGCACCAACCGCCTATCTATACGCGGCTTGGACCAAACC